ATTTCTCAAGCACTGGGGAGGGAGGATGGGGAACACCCACGGACATGAACAGAGCAGTACACACCTCAGAGTGATTTGTTTCAGGCTTTATTTTTCTCCATGGGGTTGAGACCATCACACCTCGCAGAGCCTCCTATCCTTTCAGTATTATCCGGTGTGGGTGATCTGGATACAGCAGATGACTAATTTCATACAATATTATTGAGTGCCAGCTCTACTACTAAGTTTGAGAAGACTTTTCTGTTTAAAGGGTGACTCTTCCAAGTGCTCTAAAATCCACATGCCTGGATTGTCTTGAAATTTTGTGTGTCTCATGGGAATGAGGGTAGGGTGAGTGACCCAACTTTGGACCCAGCTGACCAAGAGGTTGCCGAGATACTTCTAGAAAAAAAAAACACCACAGCATTTCATAATGTTTGCAGATTCTAGCAACTTTGACCTCTGAAACCCACCCTGAGCAGAAAGCTGAGAATGAACTGTTAATGTTTGGGAAAAACAAGCCTCTGTCAAGGTTTGTTTTTGTGAGAAACGTAACCTGAGTAGAATAACTAATTCAGAAAGTGCTCAACCTATTCTGAAAAGAAAATATGTTATACACGTGAATGTTCACTGGGTGGAGCAGGGTGATTAGGGGTGGAAGAGTAGGTGAGAATAGGGGTAGGGTCTGTATTGAGGGTTGGGGGTATTATGGGGAGGGAGATAAATGCAATAAAGTGGTAGGGGAAGGAAAAGTGGTTGGGGCCTCAGGCAAGGGGTGGGGATTGAGGGAACAGGAGGGACTGGACAATGGGAAGGGTGGCAGGGGAAGTTGGGGGCTTAGAGGTGGGAGCCTGTCAGTCCTGAATCTTCCCTTCTGTATGTGCTGGGATTTGGGGGACCCTGCTCCTCTTGAAGTGTCTGAGCCCCTCTCCATGGGAGCTGGGGGATGGGGGGGAAGGTAATATAAATGTAAACAACTGAAAACCAGGAAATGAATCATTAAGGTACATATCACTTCTTTGTGGAGTGTGTCAGTGGGGTGGCTGGCCAGAGTGTGAGTGGACCAGTTTGGAAGGGGGTGAACTGGGTGGAGCTAAGGCATGGCCCACGAAACCTGGCTGAAGCAGGGGCAGGAAGCCCAGTTGGGGTTGCGTAGTGTGGGTGAGGGGCCCGGCCTGATGTGCAACATGGACTCGGTGACATAATCAAGGAAATGCACAGCCCTCAAGTAAGCTGCTGCCTGTGATGTGTGTACGCAGCACTACCAGGCAGGAGACAGCAAGGAACAACTGCTCAGCATGCCTTTTACAGTGCTAACTAATGGCTTAATGGGACAGGAAAGCGAGCAGGAGCTGCAAATGTTGGTGGGGTGGCTACATGTTGCAGAAGATGGTGGGGCAGGGGGCGGAAAAGGAGAGAGACACACTTGTCTTCTCTCTCCTGCCTAAAGTTACTGTAGCAATCCTGTAATAAAACGGTCAAGATTCTGTGACACAGACCGTGTGGGAGATTTCTTTCTCTGGCCCTGTTAGCCACCACACAGTGCAAATATTTCAAAGCACGACCATTATCTCCATTCCAGTCGAACAAAATGTACAGGAGTGTGGAAGAGCACTCAGGAATCCCATAGCAACTATAGGACCTAATGGAGAAACCACCAGGATTATTATTGGCTCTGCCACTGGCCTCCTGAGTGGCCTTGGGCATGTCACTTCAGCGTTCTGTGCCTAAGTTTCTCACCTCTAAAATGGGGATCTACTGATGAAATGTGCTATGTAAATGCTAGCTTTTTCTGTTATTACCTAGCTACAGTATGTGTCCAATGGAACTCTAAATGAGAACTATAATTGCCTAAATGACCACTAACTCTAACATACATTTCTCTTTCTCTTAAAAAAACTAGCAAATTAATTGAGAAAAACCTTTGTTAACCCAGAGCTAAGGCTGCCTGATGGTATTTTGTGCCCTTCCAGAGGGTCAAGTTCAGCAAAACTTAAACCTCTGAAAACAAAGAAATATAGAGTTAAGGTACAGGTCAATGCAGCCTTAACTCTGCCCCCGAGTGATGACACAGTACACCCATAGCGCACACATTCCCATTCTGCCTTTGCAGATAGTGCATCTCATGCAGGAAACAGGGCACATGAGAACTGTAGCACAGTTAAACACCTTCTCTTTGCCAAGCAAAACTTGTTTTTAGGTGAGCTGCATAGAACAAGAGCTACCTACACTTGTTCTACACTCAAACACTGAGTCTCCTCCCCAGAAACAAACCGGCATGTGTTAAACTTTACAACTTCTTCACTCCTTTTACAATCCTTTAGCCTTTACACACAGGATTCCAACAAACACACAGCTCTCATATCCCACCTCACTGCTGACAATACCTATGGTTAGAAGGCCTCTATGTCCTGCTACTGACAACCTACACAACAGCAATGCAATGATGGATACTGGATCCTTCAAGGTACACAAGTGCCTCCTTCCTTTCATCACACATGGGGTCTCAGACCAGATCCCCTCATATCACAATCACAGCTCTGCCAATCTGCTCCAACTAATGCCTCCTCCATTCAGCACAACTACACCTAACACAGAAAATGCAGCTAGAGTGCACGCAGATAATTCCCAGTGGCCTCTGTCAGCTCCAGGAGGGCAGAGTTAAGATTGCATTGGTGTGTACCTTATCTCTGTATTATTACCCAATTTCCATAGTTTTGAGTTTTACTGAACTTGACATTCTGGAAAGCTGCAAGATACCACCAGACAACCTTAATTCTGCATTAATGAAGTTTTTTCGTTTTTTTGGTCAGGGAATTTATAACAGAGAATTTATAAAGTCCTTTGCTACACCTGGAGCATAAGCGGTCCTGAGAAAGCCAAGTTCACTTTGTTTTGTAACCACAAAACAACAGCATCAGTAATCTGTCAGTGACAGAAACCACTACTAAGGGAAAGCAATTATCCCTACGTAGTAGGGAAACGTGCTCAAAGAAGCCCCTGTTAAGCTGATGCAAAACCAATGCAAAATATATATAAATACTCCATCTCCAGGGTACATATATCCTGGAGATGCAGTATTAAGAACATGTGCTTTTCCATGTCTGGGGCCAGAATTCAGCTCCATCTCTACAACATAAAATGAGTCTTGCAATCTCTGGCACTCTCGCTTCGTGGCTTGTCAGTAGCCCGCTAAACATATTTTTGTAAGGAGTGATTTCATTTTTGTCCCTACCATTTTGAAGGGGCAATTTCAATTCAGAGGGGCTCAAATGAAGTTAATGGTTGTGATTCTACCACACCCCCTCCTCAAAACCAGCTGATCAGGTCAAAAGGAGCTGTCGCATAGTAGGTGGGCCCTGAATGGAAGCCTTAGACTATCTTGGTAGTAGTTGGACACTGGCTCATTTGTAGGATGCTTGTGATCGGCATCATGACCCCAGGATGAAAAATGCTAAATACCAAGGGCATTTTGCTGAGGGCTACAAATCGTGTACTTTGGTATCTTGTCAGGAGCGTTTCACCCATTTTGTAGAACAGGGGTAGGCAACCTATGGCACACGAGCTGATTTTCAGTGGCACTCACACTGCCCAGGTCCTGGCCTCCGGTCCAGGGGCTCTGCATTTTAATTTAATTTTAAATGAAGCTTCTTAAACATTTTAAAAACCTTATTTACTTTACATACAACAATAGTTTAGTTATATACTATAGACTTACAGAAAGAGACCTTCTAAAAACGTTAAAATGTATTACTGGCACGCGAAATCTTAAACTGGAGTGAATAAATGAAGACTAGGTACACCACTTCTGAAAGGTTGCTGACCCCTGTTGTATAACAACGGGCATGACTGCAGGTGGCAGAATGCAATACTGTACCTCTTGATCAAAGAGGGTCATTGGGCAGCAAGGGGCAAGCAAGGATCTGTAGCTTGCACAAGGCTGCCCCTCTCTAACAGAGGGTGACTGCAAGCTGCCCTTTGGATCACTGCAAGCTGCCCTTTGGGTCACTTGTGTGCAACATGAAGCCAACATTTGTGCAGTGGAACAGTTCACAGATGGAGCGACAGGAGCACCTTCAAAGGCCAGCAGAAATGTGAGTCCTGAACAGACAGGGCAGATTTAACAGCCATTCAAAATTAACTCCAAGAAAAGGGAATCTCAAGAAGATCCAAGGAATAAGTCAGAAGAGGGAGCAAGATTTCTACTGGTCGCTTGATAGTGACAGAAGAGCAACAAAATGCCAGCTGGTTTCAGTAACAGGTGGCTGCATGCTCTGATCTGTCTTGCATGCCCACCGAACTTCTTTCCAGCGGAAACATGGAGCTTATGCAAGGCTGAACAGATCCTTTATGCAGCCCTTTTTATACATACAGTGTCATGGCTAGGATGTTTTCTGCTCACTGACAATCCCGCATGTATACATCTTATTTTATGCTAGTTACACTTAGTTTTAGGAAAAGCAAACCGAGAGCTGGGTGGTTACTGACATTTCCCCCACCCAGTTATTATATTGCCCTACAAAAGTATCTTATCTGATGTAGTGATGTGAAAATGAACATATTCATTTTTTCTTCCAATTCTCTTTTCCCCTTCCCTCCAAATATCGTGTTAGGTTTGTTCTTTTAATTACAAGGTTTTCCTTCAATGTTCTTTCTGTATTTCCTCTTCACCAACCAACAAAAGGCCCCATGTTGCGAAGAGCCTCCATCCACATATGTTCATGTAACTCTGGGTATTGACCAGCAGAGGGTACTGGAGACAACGGCACAATGGGAACAGTTACTGCTTCTACAGGACATCCAGCCCGTTGATCTGGGTGGCTGGGGACCCATACTCCCATTATCACAGTCTTAGGAATGCGGCACACTGCCAGGTCAGCCTATGGTACAATTGTGAAAGACAGAAGGCCTGAGCAAACTACTTGTTTTCTGTTTAAAGTATGTTAAAAATTAGTTTTTGAAAAAAACAGGTACTGCTCACAAAATTGACACAAAGATAACAGAACTACAACATTACTTACTTTGGCCACACAATTTTCAGTCTTCATAGCAGTGCTCGCTAGACATACTGTTTCTTGGTTTAAGCACAGTCTGGCACAGCTGTTGTAGGTCTGTGGAAAGATTAAAAAAATTCTGAATGGAGGCACACAATTTGCTGTAAGGCATCAGATTTTTGGTGCAAGATACTCTAACAACTCTGTGAAACCATTCTACTACATTTCGGAATCACTTGTCTTTCCTGAACAAAAGAGGAAAACAGGGTGAAATGAAGTTTCGAAACCCACTCAAACTAGTCTATAAAATAAATCTATGCAGTATGTGTGTGTGTGTGTGGGGGGGGGGGTGACACAAAACATCCCTCCCCCCCATCCTGCCTGGATATATTTTTATTTTTAAGTAGAAGCTTAAAGTAAAGGAATACAGAATGGCCTGGTTCACCCCGCTCTCCTCACAAGTCATAACACCAATATCTGTTGAGAGTGGCTGGGGTTAGCGTATAGATAGAATTCAGCAATTTCTGATACTTGATCCAAAAGGAGAAATTGAAAAACAAAACAAAACACACAAATCCTTCCAAATGGCTCTCTGCTATGTGGACTAATGCACTAGGTCTTTCAGCAGTGAGTGGGATGTCTAGATTCAAACTGGGACAAAGTCACAAGCAAACAGGTATTTGATGGCCTCAAACTATTCCTTGCAGACATTTGCCCACATCATAAAACCACCACTTTGGCATGTTTAGCACTTCCTACTCAGGAGAGAGATCAGAATGAATAAAAACATTATAAATCATGATTTAGATGCACTGACCTAACTGCCATGAGGAAATTTGCACAGCACCTTCTTGCTCTATGTATTGCTCCAGCCACTGTTATCTGAACCTCATTTTACAAGCATCAACATTCACTAAATTCAATCCAAAACTTGAGAGAGGGAGAGGGAAAAAAAGAGAGATGCTTTGTTTCCTCATCATTCACAATTGAGCATTTTTTTTACCCTCCTGATTTTTCACTATTTTCTGTTGCATCTTGCATTTGCAGTGTTTTATACTTACATCTCCTCCATTCTGACTTCCCCCCAAATTTATAAATCCATGATTATGTATAGGAATACATGATAGAATGTATTACTAGGCACTGCATAGATTAAGTGCTAGGTACATATTAAAAGACAGTCCCTGGCCCAATCTAAATAGACAACAAACAAAAAAAGCATTATTTCCCATTTACAGATCGGAAAGAAGAAAGAGAGAGATTAAGTAATTTGTCGAGGATGCAAAGGAAGTCTGTAGCATAACTAGGATTTGAACCCTGCTCTTGAGTCCTGGTCCAATCATCTCTCTTCCAGGCAAAGTATACAAGCCTGCTGAACGAGCCTACTTTTCAGAAGTCAGCCTTAGAATAATATTCTACCCAATAACCACATTAATAACTATAGGGATGGGAAAGAACTGATTGTTTGAATACAAAATCAGCAACATTCCATTTTGAGTCCATGAAGCAGAATCTAAAAACTAGAACTGGCTCAGTAGGAAGGGTGACCTCTATCATAACCACACAGAACCACTAGTGAGCAAGGCAGTGTATAAATGAACACTTATTCCAAAGCATTGCACAACTCCCGTTATTTTTATTCACACACAAGGGACAGGGACACTCAAAAGTTTCTAGTCCCAGTGACTCCCTGTGGCCTTGGACAACAAGTCATCCAATTTCTCTGAATCTCAGCTTCCTCATCTATAAAATAGGGATAGTACTACGTATCTCAAATGGCCGTTTTCATGGCACTTTGACAGCATAAAGCACTATGTAAGTGCTAAATTATAAAACAGCCATATAATTCCTCACCTTTCTACAAAAGATGAGAAAGAAAATGAAACTTCAAGGAGTATATAACTTCTTTGTTAAGGATGTGGAAATGCATTCATCTTGTGCAATGAACAAATATACTGCAACCTGGAGAAGGTATATACATGCCAGCAGCACGTTCAACAAGGTCTCAGGCTAAACTTTAGGAGTGATCTATGTATTCTTTTAAATCAATACAAAGAGTTTAAGACACTAAATCACTAGCAATGCATGCACTTATGTTGACAGTTTATGACACCGTATGACATTCATTCTTCCTTCACTTATTTACCCATGCCCAAGTTCAGAGCGCTATGTTTCAACTGAAACACATGTAAACCTAAGAATGGGTTACCTAGGGAGGTGGTGGAATCTCCATCGTTAGACATTTTTAAGGCCCGGCTTGCCAAAGCCCTGGCTGGGATGACTTAGTTGGGGTTGGTCCTGCTTTGAGCAGAGGGTTGGACTAGATGACCTCCTGAGGTCTCTTCCAACCCTAATCTTCTATGATTCCATGACATCTGAATTTGAGGGACTCTAGTATTACAGCTCCCTTCACTGTTTGAGGTGCTTTGGCGATCAGCTACTGTTCCAGGAGAAACAAAACCCTGAACCCAGGTCTTGAAAGATAAAAACCTTTTCAGTTCACCTTTAAAATTGGACCCTAGTAAGAATCTTTTCTAGTTTGAACCCACCCTGTTCCAGTCTCTCCTCACTTTGAGTCATTAGAAGAGGGTTCTTTGCACAGTGAGCACTTGGAAACGGTAGCCTGGTTCTATGCCAGAGGCATATAGCTTTGCGTTGGAGTGCTTTAATATGTTTTTATATTGCATATAAAGCATGCAAACATAAACCAGTTTGCTGAAAGCTACCCTCTTTGCGAAAGCCGGCTGTAATTCTGAACAAGTTTTCAATTTTCACACTGCTGCTAGGGTAAAACATTTTAAAGAGTTTAATTTTTACAGTGGCTTCACTGACATGGGATTATCTAACAAAGTAATGGCTAATCAATAGAGGGTTTAGTTGTCAGGTGAAACATATAACACACTAAAAGGGATTGATTGCCAGACTCCTCCTTATTTACTAGGAGGTATATATTTAAAATGACACAAACTTGTTACCAAGCTGCATTCCCTTAACCTTGCAAAAGCTGTTCAAGAAGAACGTTAAGCAGCCCTATAGCAAAACAGCTCTAATAAAAAAAAAAAGTCTACAAATATATGGCAGCATCAAATCATGTCAGGAGCAGGAATGTGGTGCAGAAAACGGGAACCACAAAGCTGCATTCATTCTTAGCCAAGGGCTTAAAATGCCACACAGATGCTAGACCATAGTTCACTAAACATATCTAATCTCACTCCATGAGTATCTTAGATTAGATTTTTCTAATGCTTATATGACTGGGTCTGATAGACTTCTGCCTTTTTAAAAAGAGAGCATGACCCCAGTGTAAAGGAGTGCAGATGTCAATGGAGCTTTGGATGAGCAAGGAATGCCAGACTGAAGTACTGAACGCAAAGTGGAATTGTGTTCATAAGGATCTCAACCAGTAGAAAAGTCATTTCTTTGGCCATTTATCCAGAGAATCCCCGGTCTCTGAATGAAACTCCACTTTTTAATAGACACTACAACCCAGAAGTTCAATAAGATTTTTTTCACTAGTTAATAATTACATGATTTATCAGAGAAAGCTAACACTAATAAAAACACAACAAAAAGACAAAACCCATAGCCTTCCTCCAAATCATTTTCAGAGCGCAGATTATTAAACTGCTTCTTTTCAAACAAGGGCTTTGTAGCTAAGCACAAATTGCCAAACAGTTAAAAAAAAAGGTTATTAGACTCTGAAGGATTCAGCAGAAGTGGGAAGTTATGTAAACAAATCACTCCAGAAGATTTGGAAAGATCAGTTTCATCTCACTTACAGGGTCTTCGGAGACCTGCATTAATTATCCTTAAGGTCTTTCACATGGACTATCTAAAATAAACGCAAATTTATTTATTTATTTCAAATGAGGTGCTCCTCCTGAAAGTATTAAATAATGTCTACAAATTTAAATGCATTTTTATAAATAGGTAATTAAAGAAACAGAAGACTAAAATTAAGTCAAGCTGCAAAACATTACCCAGAATCCATTGTGGAGGTGTTTGGTTTTTTTTAAAGCACATTTAAGACTACATTTTTGCTACCAAAAGCCCACTGTGCTGGGGGAGGGGGTCTCTGTGGGAAGTGATAAGACAAAACATAGGATAGCCAAACAAAAAACTAGAACATTTGCAAGACTGTCCCTAAAGCATAGTTTGTCATATTGCAATTACACCTTGCCTACTGCAAAGCCAGAGTCCTTAATATTGCCACTAGAGGGAAGAAGTATCTCAACACATGGTAGACAGGGAATGGGTTTTCTTGAGCAATTACCATAACAAAGCTCCTGTGGTTGCATGTACCTCCTAATTACTCACTACAATTAAAATGACTAACCCATAACAAACAGCACATAAATAAATAAACCCCACCCTGCCTGTTCTCAGAATCTTCATTAAATCTTACACTGGTTTCCTCATCTATCAAAGTAGGAGAAAAGGGTACGTCACAATGTCCAAGCACCACAGGGCTATTCAACGGAGTAAAAGCATTTAAACAAAAAACAAAAACAAAAGAGCAAGGAAAACGGGATGTCTTGTGGAAAAAAAAGAAAGAAAGAAATGTCGTGCTATTTAGCCATCTGGTAGCTGTTTGAAAACAAACTGTCCTCAAAAGAGCACAGATACAGCACATCTTCTCTCAGCTCACTGGGTTATGAATCAGGCTTTTTTTTTTTTTTTTTTTTAATATAGACAAACTAATGTTGGACTTCTGCGCTGCTGCTTTCATTCCCTCTTGTCCAACTGTGCAAAGATAACCACATGCCCACCCCCAACCACATCAGGTTATTCTAACTCGGATAGCTCGTTTGCTGCCTCTCGGGGTAAGGTTTTTCCGTGCCATTGTTCAAAATCCCTCTGGATTTATATAGTGATTATTCTGACAACTCCTTGCTGATCTTAAAAGGTTTAAATCCTTCATTTTATCGGGCTCATCATTAAGAGAAGATGGCAGCCAAGTGATTTTTCTTTCCATTGACAATTTGTGACATTTCTCCAGCAGCGCGCAAGGTGTTGAAAACCTGGCAGCTGTTACCTCCTGGGACGAAGCTCCTTTTTTATCCTCCCATGACAGTTTAACTCAATGGGTCAGCACCTTTAAAGACTGCAAAGTATCA